CAAATTGATGAGTCGGAGGTCTTACCAGAGAGCTTCTATCATTGTTCTTAGTGATGCGTGCAGGAAGGTCAGTGATCCTGTTAAGCTGGGGGAGACGTGGTTTCTCCTGATGTGTCCAGAGGTTTGAAGCCGGAATAAGAGGACTGGTCTCTGAGATGGAGGAAGGTCACATTGGGAACACTCAGAGTCTATAGAAATCCCTAACATTTTAATTTTGCTCTTTCCAAAAGATTCATAAAATCATTGACTTAGGAAAATTGTCTTATACTAAATGTGATTAATTAGCTCTCGGAGGATTACTATGATTTTGGGATCATAGCTTGATTTAAGAATACAGTTAACTAGTATGTTAGCTCAAAACACATATGATACACATGAAATCCTAATTTCTACTTTTTTAATTTTTACTTTTGGCTTTATGGCTTGCATCTAATAAACAAAGAGGATTTCTCGATGTACATAATACATAAAATGGATATGAAAATTTTAATCATGTTTTAACCATTTTTAAGGCATTTGTTTTTGGGTAAAATATTTTTTTCTTAGAGCTATTGATGTAGTTTCCATAGTTATTCATGTTATTGTCTGTATAAACACCATCCAGAGAGGGAAATATAATTTTTTCAGTTAAGAGAACATTTTTTATTAGAATGACTTTTAAAATCTATAGTCAATGTACTTTGTTGTATGATACAAATAAATGTACTTTGAACAAAAAGAGCCAAACAACATAACTTAGATAATGGGAATCTTTCAGGATTTATAAGCTAAGCTCTGGAACTCCCAGTTTCCTCATTTAATTTGGTCTTTATCCCAAGAATGGATATGACCCAAAAGATAATTGATGCAAGATTCATAGATGAGTGTAGTATTTGGAAGCTGTCTGCAGCACTACTAGAACATATACTACCTTTATGCCACATGAATTAAAATAATTGACTATATTTCATCTGTTAATTTGTCTTAGAGTGGCTGTCAGTGTTAGGAAGAGTACATTCCATGTCTCTCTTATTTATGAAATTAAAGTCTTCATACTTCCATGCCAGGAAAAGTTTGTCTTTATTATGAACTGATAAGTTTTGTTTCGTCGGCCAGATAAATTTATTATTTACTATTTTGCCTTGGCCGCGAGCAGTTTTAGAGCTAGCCTGTAGTGATTTTGCAGCAAAAGTTTTCATATAATTATCTTCACCTTCTTCCTCTCTTACTCACTCATCAGTCTTTAATTTTCGTTTTAGTGATTTTATCATGTATTTTTTTATTATAAATATTTTTAATTCCCTTTTGAAAGTTGATGGTAGATAAATTCAAGGAATTCAACACACAATCATTGAGTACCTAATTCTTGCTGTGAAAGTAACTCTGTTACCCTGGCAGTAGTGAAAGAGACAGGCTCGGGCTTTAGGAAGCTGAAAAAAAGGAACTTTCAGAAATTTGTAGGAAATGCATTGGAATGTACAATATGTATTTTGCCAGGCATTTCAAGGGCTCGCATTTATTCTTTTATTGCTAGTTAAAAGTCACCGTTAGGAACACTGCTATTACTAAAGCCTATGTGTTTTCTAGAGCCAATTTGTTTTATGCAGGTTTAAAATTCAGGACTGGAAGCTGGGTCTCACATAATTTCTGAGACGGCAGTGACCATACAGTCCGGCCTTTTCTGTTCTTAGACGTCTAGAGGCTCTTGCAGCTGGCCTTCTATGAGAGCGCGCTGGCCCCAGGCCCTTCAGCTTCACTCTGGGGAAGAGATAGTACGCGTGAGATAACCAGAGGCTGTCCAGGGAAATCTTTGAAGAAGACGATAGTTTTGTCTGATAGGTACAGTAAAATGATTTTGAAAAGAGACAGCATCTCTACTTTGAGTCTAAAAAGGAAAGAAAGCCCCTTTCTGTTGTTCATTATGTTCTTTCATGAAGACGACTCTCTTATGCTTTGTGTAACTTTTGAATGTGTACCCAGGCCCTTGAAAATTCAAACTGCTACATAAAGGTGTTGAAGATTATAAATACGGTGGTCGCCGATTTCATAAATGGTTGGCCAGTAGCATCATTCACGAAAACACTGGAATTCACACATGTTAAAATGTAAATCAAATGTATCTTTTTACTAATCCATGACCTAACGTTTAAAAACTAGGTTTGTCAACGATTCTGACCTTGTAAAGAAGAAGAATCTCGTACCCTTTGGGACAGTATGGATGGACCTGGAGAAAATTATGCTGAGTGAAATAAGCCAGGCAGTGAAAGACAAACATCACATGATCTCACTTATACGTGGAATCTAAAGAACTTATTAAACANGCTGTCTCTTATACACATCTAGATGTGTATAAGAGACAGCACTTATACGTGGAATCTAAAGAACTTATTAAACAGATGAACAGAATAGATTCAATGACATGGAAGCATAGATCAGACTGACGAATGTCAGAGGGATGGAGGGTGGTGGGTAGGGGCAAGGGGAGAGAGTAACCAAAGAATTTATATGCATATATGCACAACCCAAGGACAGGGACAATGATGGGGAGAGGGACTGGGGAGGGGGGTGGGACGGGGTGGAATGGGTCATGGGAGAGGAAAAGGGACATCTGTAATATTTTAAACAAAAATAAAATTTAAAAAAAAAAGATTCTGACCTAGATATGTCATTCCCCGCCCATGTGAAAGAGAATATAATTATTGCCTGAATTTTTCTGGGACTGACTACCGTTCAAGTGATTGTCCTTGCCTCCACTCCTCAGCTTCTAATTCTTGGCCTTTTGTTTATTAGCAGCTTTATGTGAGAGGCAGAATAATTCCCCCACCCCAAAACATGCATGTCGTAATCTCCACAACCTGTGAATATGTTACATTACATGGCAAAGGGAAATTAAGGCTGCAGATTGGATTAAGTCTGCTTACCAATTTACCTTAAAATAAGGAGGTCATGCTAGTGATCTGGGTTAGCCCCAGTGATCACAAAGGTCCTTAAATGCAGAAGAGGAGGCAGAAGAGATGGCAGGGTGAAGCGACATGAGAGGAACTCTTGACCCATCTTCGCTGGCTTTGAAGATTGAGGAAGAGGCCCTGGCCTATTTGGCTCAGTGGTTAGAGCCCCGGCCCACGGACTGAAGGGTCTCGGGTTCGATGCCCAGCCAAGGGCACGTACCTTGATTGCAGGCTCCATCGCCAGCCCTGGTCGGGGGCCGCAAGCCAGGCTATGCAGGAGACTTCCCAAACCTGGAAAAGGCAAGGACCCGCATATCCCCGAGCCTCCAGAAAGGAGCACCCTGCCGACACCGTCAATTTTTGACATCCAAAGAAACCCGTGTCAGATTTCTGACTGTTAGAAATCAGTTAGATAATAAATTTGTGTTGATTTAAGCCACGACACTTGTGGTAATTTGTCATGGCAGCAATAAAAAACTACCACATTTACCAATGTTCAGGAAAAGAAGATGAAGATGAATCTCAAGGCACTCTCTCCGGAAAAGATTTCGTGTGGGTGGAGGTCGCAGCTCTTGCTGACAGGGAGACTCGAGGCTATTGGATTTCAGCCCCTGCTCTCATTGTTTCCCATCAATACGGAAAATCTGCCAGTGCAATGACCTGGATAAAGTGCTTCAAAACAGCATATCTCTGCTTCAGTCGGCTTCCAGTCTGCCCATGTGGCTGTCATCAGAGTGATCTTTCGATAGAGCAGATTTAATTGTGCTGTTTCTCTTTCAAGTCCATTTTATGATTTCTGGGGACTACAGACAAAAGCCCAACCATGTGGCATGGCAGACAAGGCCTCGACAGCAGAAGCGTATGCCACGGCCCCAGGTCATGCTCGTCCCCTTTAATTCCCCTCCTGTTTGGCCAAGGCAGGGTTCTCACGTTCTGCGAGCCTAGCGCAGTATTTTACACTTTTCTCCTTTGTACACGTTTCCCTTCACCACCAGTGAGTGTCCTGCCAGATCATCCTACCTGCTGGCAGACCCCCATGAATTGTTCCAAGACGCAACTCAAGCATTACTTCCCTGGAAAATCAAGGAAGCTTTCACATCAAATAAAATTGTTTGCTCTGTCCTTTATGCCATATTGTGAGTTTAACACCTTGCGATATTAAAATTATTCATTTCCATTTCACTTTCTTATACTAAACTGTGAGCTTCTTTAGGGCAACAGCTGGGTCTTGAAACATATCTGTAGGATGTAGTATCTCACACAGCTTATAAGTAGATACTCAGTAGATAAGTATTAAGGGAATGAATGAGTAGGTTAACCTAACCTGGCCCACACCAGGGAGATGCGATTAGAACTCAGGTTTCTGACTCCCAGGCCAGTCTGGGGTTATACTCTGCCTCTAAAACTTAGGTATCATAAAAAAAAATTCTTAAATAACTAGGGAACATTTTATATTTTATAACATTCTGACACTCACCAACTTATTTTGTTTGATACCACTCTTCTTTCTATCCTTTAACACTTGCAATTTTTTATTTTATTGTATTGAAAATGAAAACATTGAAATGATTTCTCTTTTGTTTATGGCTGTATTTGGAAGAATTGTTTTGTGCAGTATATCTGTTTTTATCCTTAAAACATTGAGAATACTCTCTAATTTAATAGAACAGCATGGCAAGTATGAAGTTTTTATATGCAGCAAATCTCTATCCTTTTAAGTACATACATGCACAGTGTATGATGACTCCTCATTCATTCCATGGACTTGGAACTTATCCTCACTAGTTTTAGGGAAACTGCCAGCTGCCCAGCCCCTAATGTGGGCTGCAGTTCACTTTTGAATCCTTGGGCCCTCTCTCCACCTGCTTGAGTGTCATTTCTCATTATACAAAGTTCAAAATGAGCTTATCTGAACACAGTCTGTCTGTCATGATCCTATAAACAGTTTGCATATTGACTTCATGTTATTACTGTAGCTAGTCATGGTTTGAGGTCAGCCGAGTATTTTTCTACAATGAATAACTGTTTCGTTGAAGAACTATCAGCAGCAACTGTTTTATTCTTGCCTCGCAGGTACTACAGTGCAACCATCCTGCAGATGTCTGGCGTTGAAGATGACAGAGTCGCTATATGGCTGGCTTCGGTGACAGCCTTCACAAATTTCATTTTCACGCTCGTGGGCGTCTGGCTTGTTGAGAAAGTGGGCCGCAGAAAGCTCACCTTCGGCAGTTTAGCAGGTAGGTGCCTGCCTGAGGATTCAATTATAAACTTTTATGATGACAAGTTAACTCTCCAAAATACAATACCAAGTACCATTTCCGAGAATGTATTCAGCCAAACAATACAGTTCCTCTAGACAAAAAGTTTTGTAAAGAGAACTTAGTGAATTTTATGATATGTAACTAGAAACTAGAATGTGAGAAATGACCGGAATTGTAAGAACAGTTTATCTCTGCTGAGGGTATCATCTTGCTGTTATTTTGAGTTCTGCTCAAAGGTACAAAAGTGACCAGAATAACTGCTTTTTCTTCCTCAGTTGGTATTCATAAACTCACTTTTTAGCATACGTTTTATTTTTTTTAAGTTTGGAATAATATGGAAGTAAATTTGAACATTCTACTTCCAAGCTCTTTCAGCAGTGGGATACCGGAACCATATAATTTCTTCACAAAGCAGGGACAGACTCTTTCTGTGTTTGAACCAGGCAAAATTCTACAATAAATTCTGGTTCGTTAAATTTGTTTTCTTTGATAGCTAAATAGGACAAAACCTTTCTCACCTTCAAGTATCTGTTGTCTTTAAATTCTGCCCATTTCATTTATTATTTCTCTGTAAGTCAAGGGCTGTTTCACGTGGCCGGTGAGACCCATCCTTGCCATTGTCTTCACATGGTTGCACAATGTCATCGTCTAATCTTTCTCATATGTAAAAGTGGATTCCTACCTATCAATTAGCTGTCATCTAATGGCTGCTTTATAAGTTTATTTAGAGTAAGAATACATTTTCCCGTTAAAATATAAAGTTTCCGGGCCAGCATTAACTAAATTCTATTCTAACCCAGTGTACCTAAAGCGTTAATCTAGTAGAACTGCTTCAGGCACTTGTTCCAGATTTGATGAGAAATACAGCCTGAGTTTCACACTCAGTTATTAAGAACATCCTCTGCCCTATCCCTCAGTGCAGGAGTGGAGTGCACCCACCCTCTGTTCTCCCCTAGGCAGGGAATCCCCTGATCCAACAATGTAGGTTGAACTGTAGAATCAGCACTGAGGGGAAGACGGACTAAGAGACAAAGGCATCACAACAGCCATGGTACCCGGGGAAGGGAGGGGAAGGAAGGGAAGGTGAGGGACAAGTGAGGCTTTAAACACCATACATTTATAAACCTGTTGAAGAAAGCAGAAGCGTTCCGTGTAGGAAAAAAGCCTAAAGGGAGATCTAGTAGATATCTTGCTCTAGCAGATGGTAGGTGTAATGAGGACATAGATTTTTACTTAATATAAGAAAAATACTCCCAATAATCAGAGCTATCCAACAATGAACCTGGCTGCCTCCTTAGGACGGTAAACTCTCAAATAAAGGACAGGGCCATCAGGTAGTGATGTGCTAAAAATACATTTGTACAGTTGGTTGGAAATTGGATTTGCTAACCCCCGAGGCTCAGGTCAACTCTAAGGAGATAACAGCCACTTTAAAAGTTTTTAAGTGGATACCCTTCTTTTTTCGATAGGCCTCAATATATTACTACCTTTAGAGGTCTGTTTTTTAAATAGAATTTCAGGTTTTCTTAAATTTGGGATTTGGCTTTTGAAATCTGAGAAAACTGCTGATTTTGAGATCCGTAGGAAACACTTTTTTGCAGCAGCCTCTGTTCCCTCACCTGTTGTGTTCCAGCGAGACACTTTCTTATCAGTTCTGCAGGATTTGAGGTGCCATAGAGCCAGACTGTTTGGGTTTGAACGGGGTGACTTTGAGCAGATTTCCATTTCCTCATTTGTAAACAGGGATTAACTGTAGTCCCTACTTCATAGGATTGTAATGAGGACTGAACACATTTGTACATGGATAGCATTTTAAACACTACCTGACACCGAGAGTAAAGAGCCCAGAGCAGTTTAGCTCTCACAGCATTATTATTACTGCCCAGGAGTGATTCATTGTTGTTTTAACTATGTAATGTGAAATCAATTTGCATCACCAGAATGCAGGACTTCCCTGAACTCTTCTAGCTGCTCTCATGTTCCACTGCTCAGAGTAGGTTCCCTACCCCAAGGATTTCCAGGGCCCACCCCTGGCTGTTCAGAGGAAGCATTAAGACAGTTATTTGGGAGGGAAAGATCACGAGACTTCAGGGACTGCTTCCTATGAGCAACCTGTAGGCACTTTTCTTTCCTGCCATGTTCTCCTTTCAGCCAAAACCACCAGTACCCCAACTCCATCCACGACCATGCCTCACAGTGATGCCCCCTGCTTGAGAGAGCTCTTCCTTGAAGTAGGCAGCTGATTTCCTTGTGATGTGGCCAGTGAGAGTGATGATGTAGAAATTACAGTGCTGTAGAAGGTACAAGGCCTGGGTTTTTCTCACAGGTCTCCTCTTTACCTGTACACATAGATTTAAATAGTGCTCTTTGTGCAGTTCTGGTTTTTAACTGATTAAGTAGGTCCCACTAGAACATAATGACCAATGGAAGTTGACACTACTTCAGAAGAAAACTTATTGCTAAGCAGCCATTAGTGTGCAGTCGTCCCTTGGTATCTGCAAGGGATTGATTCCAGGACCCCAGCAGATACTGAAACCCACAGAGCTAAGTCCCTTATTAAGTGGTGTAGCATTTGCGTACGATCTACGCACATCCCCCCGTACACTAGATCATCTCTCGGTTACTAACAATACCTAATACACTGTCAACACTATGCAAACAGTTGTTATACTGTATTGTTCAGGGGACAATGACAAGAAAAAAGTCTGTACATGTTCAGTGGTGCCTAACTACATAGTACACGTCAGCAGCAATGTAACTGTTTTTCAAATATTTTCAATCCTCGTTTGGTTGAACCCATGGATGCAGAACATGTGGATACAGAGGGCCAACTGTATTAGCATCACTCCACCTGTTACTCCACCGTGACCCACAAAATAGATGTCTAGTTCACTTTCTGATGACAGTTGATTCTGGGTTTCTCATATTTTTATTGCAATGCTTTTGTTTTGTTCATGTGTATGTAGGTATATAGTTGATATTCTAATAGAGCTAAGTATTAGAACACTGTTCTCTTTTAAGTTTCTTAAATTAGCCTAGAATTTTTAAACTTTTGATTCAGTTTTGTTCCTTATTTTGTGTTTTTATTATAACTTTTTATTACATTGGGTTAAAAATAGTGGGACAACTTACATCAAAATAATTTTTGAACAGGCATTCATTCTTTAAAAATGGCTGCAAATAAACTATATTTAGCAAGACCTGGATAAAGAAACTCTTTATACAAAGAAATATAAAACATATAGTCCATGAATAATTTTAAATGTAGGACATTTTGTGGTGTTCTGACTTTTAATATTTTCAAAGCTTGCTCAGAACACTGGTCTTTCTTGTAAATATTACAAACTTAATGACCACCTCTTGATTCTTTTAATAGAAGGTTTATATCTATGTAGCTTTATTGCTTATAAATAAAAAAGCCAGAAACACTGTTATTTCCTCCAGATATTTTGGTAGTGGAGTATTTCTGAAAGCATCACTCACAGGCTGCCCCCATCAGAATTACCACGGGTACTTCTTTTAAAATGTAGATTCTTGTGCCCTACCCCAAATCTACTAACTTAGAATCTCTGGAGATGGGGCCAGGAACATGTGCACTTTAAGCAGGCTCACCAGGTGGTATTTATGCACTCAAAGTGTGGTGGATTAGAGTAGTGGAAGGGAAAATATTTTTTAAGTATTTACTAATAATCTAAGCCGTGCACCAGGTAGTTAAAGTAATTTATTGCATCAGATATTTTTGAGAATACTACTTATCTAACACACTTCACTTCCTGTGGGAGCATCGTTAGGTAGGTGATGATAACTTAGAGGGATCAGGAGGGTCAATAGATTGATGATTATAACTTGCTGTGCAATGAGCTATATTATGACAATAAATATTTTTATTTTAAACTTAAATAGTTGATACCAGTAAGCCTATTTCATTATGTAGATCATTAAAAACTTGGTCATTCCTTTCCTCTATCAGACATTCATAAGACTTTTTCATATTCTCTGGCTGACCTTCTGCCCTTAAAAGTGACCTGACATGTATCAGTCTTATTCTAAATTGAATTCTCTACATCTAAATCAAACATCATATCTAGAGAGTATTCTTTTGATCAAACAGCAATTTCTTAATAATTTGTTTGAGGTAACTGTGTTAAAACACATTTTACTTTTAATAGCTATCAAGCAAAACAATAGTAGAGCATGGCCCTTTTTGTTTATTCTCACAGTGGCTGGGACAGTAGTCAGAACTTTGAAAGCTTTCTTGTTTACTGTCAAATGTCTCTCAGGGACACCAAAAATGAGCCTTTTAAGTGATATGCTTAATATAATTACCATTACTTAATCACCGTTTCTAGACTTTAAAATCAAAAACAAATATTCCACTTCCAAGTACCAGTAGGAAAGGGAAATGGATACATGTGTTTTGTCATTTCTGGCATTTTAAAGTCTTCAAAAAATGCTACTCCTAATAAAAAATGCTGTTTCAACTGCTTTTAAAATATTCAATTTGTTACTTTTTAGTCTACTGATTTGGGCCTTACATGATCAAATGCCATTAGAACAATTTTCTTGGCAATGAAAGGAACACTGTGAGAGTCTGTTGCGTCTCATAGTTCCTGACAGGTTAGGCACTCAATAATGGTTACCAAAATTGATTTTGAGATTCTCAGCAATGCAAGGTGTTTGTTTGTTAACAGTTTTGGTGTTTTTTCTTTTAGGAAATCATTACCAGTCTACTACTTGGCTAGCAAATGTATCATGTCTCACAATGAATGTGCTAATGAGTTTTTCTGATCATTTGTTCTTAGGAACGTTTTATTTTGTTTACTTATTTATCCATCCTTATTGTTGAGAGTATTACAGATGTCCATTTTTGTAATACAGTGAAGAGAGATCGAGTTATTTTCGAAGCTGTCTTGCCAACTCAGTCTGCTTTGGAAGAACATTGTCAACTATTCTCTGATGAAAACTTTTTTTTTTTCAGGTACCACGGTAGCTCTCATTATTCTTGCTTTGGGATTTCTGCTCTCAGCCCAGGTTTCCCCGCGCATCACCTTTAAACCAGTAGCTCCGTCAGGTCAGAACGCTACTTGCACAAGATACAGGTGAGGCTTTGTTGTGGTTCCCTTTCTTAAACTAATTCTGAAAACTGTTTTGTTTGCTCTTAATTTTTCTAAAATTTGAGAGATGAGTAGAAAGCTTGCTTATGGAGAAAGTAAGAAAATGGGACCGGTGGTAGGAAGGACCACCGGGAAAAGGAACAGTACATGCAGAGATCTGAGGGTGAAAGTGCTTAAGGAAAAGTGAGTTGTTAGACACCATTTTGATGATTTTTTTTTTTTTTAATTGAAGTAGGAAATGATACAGAGTTTGAGCTGGAATATTATAAAACTATTTTGGGTCATACTGACTCAATGACATCTGCATTCCAGATGGAATAAGTAACTTTAATCAGTAACTAAACATTGCCATGATGTACATGTCAGATGTAGTCGACTATCATCTGAATAGTCTAACAGTCCTCACTGAGCTCCACAGGCACCCCTGGGCTCATTTAAGCAGAAAAGAAAGTGTTCTCTCAGTACTAGGGTTCTTCCTAAAGGTTAGAAAGTGAGAGGAGAATGGCAGAAGAGAGTGAAATGTGTACTACTGGCCAGCTGCAGGTTTATGAGCTCATTAAGTCTACCGGTGTCCACACTGTGTGATAAATGAATGGAGAAATGGATAGATGAGCAGATAGACTGAAGAATGCAAAAATGAATTAATTAAAGGCTGAATGATTGAACAGATCAATTAATATATTTGGCAGCAGAGTTTCAAAGTGTTTTACTTTATTTTAGTGGTTAAAAAGGCTAGCAACCCTTTTAAACATATATGGATAGAACAAGATCTCGCTTTAAAAAACAATATTTTGCCCTGACCAAGTGGCTTGCTTGGTTAGAGCATTGTCCCAAGCACCAAAAGTTTGCAGGTTCAGTCCCCGTTCAGGGTGTGTGCTGGAGGCAACCGATCAATGTTTCTCTCTCGCATCGATATTTCTCTCAACTGTTAGGAAGATAAAAGAGTGTTGCCAGAATTCTGCATGCTTGACTTTTGTTTTTCTTGATGGATATTTTAAGTGGTGTGTTTTTATCACAGTTACCTCAAGCAAATTATTAAAAACTTTCTCTCATTTGATCAACATAGAATATTGTCTAGATATGATGTTTGATTTAGATGTAGCAATTTAAATTCAGAATAAAACTGATGCCCTCTCAGGTCATCTAAAGACAGAAAGTCAACCAGAATATGGAAAAAAAACTTTTATGAACTTCTGATCCAGGAAAGGAATGACTAAGTTTTTAATGATTTACGTAATGAAATAGGTTTCCTAACATCGATTTTTAAAGTTTAAATAAAAATATTTATTGCCATAGTATAGCTCATTGAACAGTAATTTATGATAATCTATTAACCCTCCTGATCCTTCTAAGTTATTATCATCTGCTAATGTGTCAGTGTACAATTAGAATGAAGTGAGAAATGTTCTATTCTTCTTTTATCTTTATACAAAAGTGAGAAGCTATTTTTGAAAACAGTACCAGTTTTTAGGTGTCCTTTTAAAAGTCAGTGAGTATGAAAAACAATTATTTCATGTGGGCCTTTTTTCAGAGTAACATACCAATCTTTGTGGGAATTTGACAGTATGTATTTATAGTCTGAGTGATTTTATAAAATATGCCTGCAGTCCCCGTACTGATTGTGGTGTTAAATCATGTTAAGTCATGTTTGTCATACCATAAGATGAGAAATAGTTGTGCTATAAACGTAGGTGTCATGCTTTCCCCCTGGAATGATTCATATAGGAAAATTGAGCAAATAAACATTTTGAAGGGAAAGTTGGTTTAGTATCTATCTTAAGAACATTATATATTATTGGTAGGAGAGTGAATTTTTCTGTTTTGGTAAGTAATATTTTCTGCCTAATAAAGTTAAATTCCTGTGCTCATTGACTCAGCATTTCCACTTGTGAAAACCTGTGGTGATGAGTTGGGTGATTCATTCTGACTAGAGTAGATGAGAGAAAAGAAAGTGAATGCTTCAGAAACAGTGGTTCTTTATTTTAATTCAGTAAATACAGATTGCGTAATGGGCACTATTGTAAGTTATGCCAAAAGTATTGTAGGTTGGGGCTCACTCAAGTCTTTGAACCCAAGAGATTGACTACCCTAAATAATTTCCAATGAGAATGTCCCCTTTTTAGAATATTTTAATTTTTTAATTGATGATATTTTATTCCAAGGCCTGGTTAGATTTTCGTGAACTGAATGTATTAAAGAACATTGTTCAGATCTGCATTTTAGCAGATAAAACTGAACAGAGATTAACCTGGATGCAGGTTGCTATAGAAAATGTGTAGCCATCTGAACAAAAGCTGTCAAAGGTACCAACTGTGGCTAGGAAATGTTTCCAGTATGGGTATCATCTGAGTCATGTTTCTGAATGAGAACACACACATATACTCCTAATATGGCCTTCAGCTCTGTGCTTTCAAATTGCTCTTGTACTATCCCTTTCTTACTCAGTTAAACATATTTTCTGATGAGAGGATTCAGTCCTTAAGTAACATTTCCCTCAAATTTTTGACATTACGAGTGTGATCTCAGCATATGCATGCAAATCACTATCACAAAACTCTTCAGAGTAGACAGATATTTCCTAAAGTGTGCAATTGTAGAATTTCAAGGTACCCTTGCCCTGGGGTTTTCATCTCATTCTTTCATTGATTCATGCATGGATGGATGCAGTTAAAATTTTTTATGGAGTACCTCCTCATAGGATTATACTAAGGACACATTATTACATCAAAAGCACCTAAAACAGTGCTTGTCACATAATAAACACTCAATATGTATTATAGCCATTGTTATTATTAACAAAGCCTGGAGTAGATGAGATTGGGATGATGGTAATCTTTCAGAGAAGACTACCCTAAGGATGGGATATTTGAAGTGAGCTTTAAAATGGGGAAAGGAACATGCCAGGCAGGTGACAAAGCAGGTGCAAAGACCATGCAAGGCAGTGAGGAACTTGGCCAGAGCAGGGAACTGAAAGGAGGCTAATGTGGTATAAGAAAAATAAGGGAAGGCTGGTGAGGTAGGCTGGAGTGAGGTCTTGTAGAACCGCAGAGGTCATCTCAGAGATTCTGACCTTCAGTCTAGGAACATGACCCCTTTGAGGGGTTTTGAGCAGGGGAGTGACATGACCAAATTTTCTGTTTTGAATTTCCTCTCTGGGGGTGGGAGTACACAGAGGTCACAGGTTAATATAGGGAGACTGAGTATTATCTGAGAGACATGATACTTGCCTGGACTATGGATATTAAAAATAACCAGGTAGACAAATTCTAGATACTTTTAGGAAAGAAAAATCAACAGGAATGAAAAATAATTGAATAACTATGAGCAACCAGCTAGAATAGATCATGGAAATAAGATGGGGTAATTGGATGAGGCAATTACTATGTTTTAGTAGGAATTGACAAGAGACTGTGCCTCTAATTCATTGTTCTTTTTCTTTTAATATTTCTCAATCGAGAGTCTTGCCTCGAATTCATCGGAGGTATTTAAAGCTACGTATCCCTCGTTCCCACAGATCTCCCTCACCAGGACAGTGGAGAATAGGTTAGAAATGCTCCCCTAGGTGATTCATACAGTAGGTCCTCGAATAACATCATTTCATTATAACATTGATGAGATGCCGTAGCAACTTAACTCTTGTTTATATCAATTAGCCTGTGGTAAGATTGGTTTCATTATATGTCACTTCTCTTAAAAGGACAGAACCTTGGTGATGTTAAGTGAGGAATTACTGTATATCTTCCACTGAGAAACACGATCATAATGCTTCAGTTCTTTTTAAATGGCCAACTTCTTTTTTCTTCTTGAACATGTTAAACCAAGAGTATAAAAACAGCGGTGGCTTTCTTTCAATACAGTAATATTTTCATATTTTCCTTTTCATATAAAGTTTCGAAACATCCAAATTGATGAAATGTTGCTTCATCTTCGACCTTCCTGAGTAGAAACACTGGTTTTGAGAAATGGTATACACTTAACTAAGTAGTCCCTTCAGTGTCCATTTACAGTAGAAAAATTTTTGCATTCACTATACTTTTCTTCTTTTGCCAACCTTGTGTGACTTAGTGCACAGCATTGGGATGGGCACTATAAGACTCTTAGATTCAGTCATAAAACTTTTATATAGCCTCAGACATGTGCAGAAACCCTGTTAGCCCCTACTTTTGTTTCAATATTTGGCATCCTGGTGATAATGTATTTATTTCCACTAATTCTTACTAACTTGACAATGACATAGTATTACGTATGAATTGAAACTTCCCATTTTGTCAAATTTTGTTTTCTGTTTAGTGGTTTCATTTATAATTTACCTATTTTAATTTATATTTGGCCTGATGGTATAGGCTAATATGCTTTTGTGTTAATATTAATAAAACTATAGAAGAAAATATATCAGAATAATATCCACAGAACTGTTACAGGTGGACATAAATATATATAAATTAGTTGAAAGAGAAGATTAGTTGAAACAAAGTCCCACATAACTTTATCATGTACCCGTATCTCCAAGTAATTGTACATGCCTTTTGCTAGCACTTGAACAGCCAGAGCTGAATTTGACGCCTGGGAAGAAAGATGGTGAGAGATTCTTGCAGGAAGTTGGCCACTTATGTTACGGGGCAGATTCTTTGAGTTCCTCACGCCCTGTTTATCTGAATGCCTAGGCTTTCAGCCAAGGACCCGTAAAGCCTCCACACTGACAGGATCCCGTATCCAAACCTTGTGTTTTCTGCAGTCTAGAAGTGCCTCTCTTGGGAAGCTGGGAAGATAAGAGGACTCTAGTTTACCCTGCAGAGTGGGGGAAGCACATTCCAGAAAGCGGGAGCATCCTGTGTGCAGGCCCTAAGCAAGGAGCACGGCTTCTTTAAAGAACTTACCCGTGATGTTGGGCCCTAGAAGGCGAGCAAGCGAGAGAATGGCACACAGATGGACTAGAGGGCAGGCTGGTGGCAGACCGTGCTAGGAGCTCATACATGAGAATTTGG